TGAAGATATACCTTTATCTTTTACTAATGCCATTAAACATGACATAAAATTAAAAAATGAAACACCTCTTTATACTAAAAGTTATAGATATCCAGAAGTTCATAAAAATGAAGTAAAAAGTCAAATTAATAAATTACTTTCTCAAAATATTATAAGACCTTCAAATTCACCTTGGTCTTCACCAATTTGGATAGTACCAAAAAAGCTAGACGCATCAAACAAACAAAAATGGCGTATGGTCATTGATTATCGAAAATTAAATGAACAAACTATTGATGATAAATTTCCTTTACCAAATATAACTGAAATTCTAGATAAATTAGGCAAAGCTAACTATTTTACAACATTAGATCTCGCTAATGGTTTTCACCATATTGAAATAAATTCTAATGATATTTCTAAAAGTGCCTTTAGTACAGATACAGGACATTTTGAATTTTTAAGAATGCCCTTTGGTTTAAAAAATGCTCCAGCAACATTTCAAAGAGTAATGAATAATATTTTAAGAGGTTTACAAAATGAAATTTGTTTTGTTTACTTAGATGATATAATTATTTTCAGTACTAGTTTACAAGAGCATATCGAAAAGTTAAGAAAAATATTTTCAAGATTAAGAACTTATCGTTTTAAAATACAATTAGATAAATCTGAATTCTTAAGAAAAGAAGTTCAATATTTAGGACATATAGTTTCTCAAGAAGGTATTAAACCTAACCCTAATAAAATAAATGCTGTTAAAAATTTTCCAATACCTAAAAGCCAAAAAGAAATTAAATCATTTCTTGGTTTAGTAGGCTATTATCGCAGATTTATAAAAGATTTTGCAAAAATTACAAAACCTTTAACTAAATGTTTAAAGAAAAATGCTAAAATAATTCATTCTAAAGAATTTGTTGATTCTTTTGAACATTGTAAATCTTTATTAATAAATTCACCAATTTTACAATATCCTGATTTTAATAAACCTTTTATTTTAACTACTGACGCAAGCAATTATGCTTTAGGCGCAATTCTTTCTCAAGGAACTGTTTCAAACGATAAACCGATAGCTTTTGCTTCGAGAACATTAAACGAATCTGAAACTAAATATTCAACAATAGAAAAAGAACTTTTAGCTATTGTTTGGGCATGTAAGTATTTTCGTCCTTATCTTTTTGGAAGAAAATTTTATATTTATACAGATCATAGACCATTAACTTGGCTTTTCAATTTAAAAGAACCTAATTCTAAATTAGTTCGATGGCGATTACGTTTAGAAGAATTTGATTATCAGATAATTTATAAAAAAGGAACAAAAAATGCAAATGCTGACGCACTGTCTAGAATACAACTTAATATGTATGAAAATGAATCAATGATAAACAATCCAGGCGACTCAGATTTCAACGTCGTAGATTATATGAAAAATTTAGCTGACAATTTATCGCTAGATGAACGCCTTGTTCATTCGCCTTCTAGTTCAAAAATAAATGTTATCTCTGACATACAAGTTAAACCTCCAGATTCTGATGCAACTGCCACACTCTAATGCAAATGATAATGACAATACAACAATGACTATTATTGATGAAATTATAAACAATAAGTCTATTCAATACATTGTGTCAAAGTTACCTCACCATACAATAAAAGTAAAGTTCGAAATGATCTTTAAAAATAATGTTAATTACGTCACTGTGCCTAACAATGAACAAATAATAAAACAATTTCTTAAAGAATATTTAATTGGTGATAAAACTTCTTATATTTATTTTGTTGATAAAGAACTTGTCAATACTTTTTCTAAAGTTTATTTAGCTCATTTTAATAAACCAAAATTAATACAATGTACGAAACTTGTCAATAATATTATTGAAAAAGAAGAACAAAAAAATTTATTAATTAAACACCAACATGAAAGTAAAACTAATCATAGAGGTATTAATGAAACTTATGATCGATTAAAAACCAATTATTATTGGCCTAAATTAAAGAATTCTGTTGAAGAATACATTAATGATTGCATTACTTGTCAAACACAAAAATATAGTCGATTATAATCTTACATTCCTTTAGTCAAGACTGACACACCCTGTAAGCCATTTCAAGTCATACACCTAGACACTTTTATATTTGAAAAACAAAACTTTTTAACTATATTTGACAAATTTTCTAAATTTGGTCAAGCTTATATTTATGATAAAAATGCAAAATCAGTTTGTGATAAATTGATAAACTATTTTTCATTTTTTGGTTGTCCAGAAAATATTGTTACTGATAATGGTTCTGAATTTAATAATGATTTAGTAAAAGAATTTTTAAAAGCTCATAAAATTAATGTTCATTTTGGAACTAGTGGATATCATGAATCTAATTCACCAATTGAAAGATTTCATTCAACTTTAATTGAACATTTAAGAATTTTAAAATCAAAAGATAAAGATAAAAGTTTAAATGAACTAATGACTTTTGCTATTATTGCATATAACAGTACTACACACACAGTTACAAAGTTTACACCCTTTGAACTTGTTTTTGGACACACAAATTCGAGAGATCCTTTAGATTTAATCTCGAATACATTTTACTCTGAATACATGAATACACATAAAACAAAAATTAATGATATGTATAATCAAGTTGTACAAAAAACTGACGAACAAAAAGAAAAAGTTATCTCAAAAACTAATATTAAAGGTAACGAAAATTTAGAATTTAAAGTTAATCAGAAAGTTTACAAAAACTATCAGAAAGAAGTAAATCAAAATCTAAATTTAGTGGTCCTTACATAATTAAGGAATTACTTGACCATAATAAAGTAAAAATTGCTAACGCAAGTAAACATTCAAAAACTGAGGTTATACATATTAAAGAACTAAAAAAGCCCCTTATTACAGATTCCTCGGAATAGGGTTATTACTACACTGTAACACAGCATCACACTACGATTTGAACACAAATCCAGGGATCCTTCCTTATAATTTGGGAAAAGCCTTTAAAACAAGTAATCAGTGGACATTTATTCAAATTTTTGAATTAAATATTGTAATCAATGAATTTAATGAATTAAAAAATAAATTTAATTTGTTAAAAAATGCTTTTAATACAACTAATGATTTTATGAATGAATTTCGTAATTCATACATTATTATTAATAATTTGGAAACAAAAATTGATGAACAAATAAGTCAAATTTTACCTAAAAATCCTATAAGACATAAAAGAGGACTAATAAATGGTTTAGGCTCTATTATTAAAAGCATTACTGGAAATCTTGATCAATCTGACGCTGAAAGAATTGATTCGAATATTAATATTTTAAAAGAAAATCAAAATGATTTAAAAATAGTGTTAAATAACCAAATGTCAATTTTGGAAAAATCAATCAATACTTTCAGAGACACAATTAAAAATATATCACTTAATCAAGATATATTAAAAACAAAAATATATCAAACTATAAAAATAATTGAAAATGTCGAACTTAAACAAACTACAATTTCTGAAGTTTTACAAGTTCATATGATCTTATCTCAAATAGCTTTATTTTATCAAAATATATATAATATTTTAGAACGTATAGAAACTGCAATAACTTTTGCTAAATTAAGAACTTTTCATAATGCTATTATGAATCCCGAATATTTATTGTCTGAAATGCAATTAATTAGTAAACATTTAATTAACGAAAAACTACCTTTTAAACCTACAAAAGAAAATATGTTAAATATTGAAAACTGTTTAGAAATTAAGAGCTATATTAAAGACCAACAAGTTATATTTATTATTGAGATACCCCTCGTAAGTAAGACTCCATATGAACTGTATCAACTGTATTCTTTACCTGTATTAAGAGGATATAAATTTCAAATGATTGTACCTAATTTTAATTATTTATTGATTAATGACTATAATTTTGGTATTTTTAATGAAAAATGTAAAGAAATTGTAAGTAATCAATATTTATGTAAAAATATACATATTCAGAAATTTAATAATGACAATATTCCTTGTGAAGTTCAATTATTTAAATATAATAAAAATATTACTAATTGTAAAATAACATTTGTTGATATTGATTTTGACATACAAAATATAAATCATAATACATATATTTTAGTATCAAAACATGAAGTTATTGCTACTGAAACTTGTAAAGAACATATTAATCGAATTATTTTTAAAGGTACACATTTGATTGAATTAAATAAAGATTGTGAATTAAAAATTAAAGATATTGTTTTAAAATCGTACACAAATTCTGTGACGTCATTCCAAATGATACCTTTACCTAATATTGTCTTAAATGTTAACGAAAGTAAACATAAACCTATTTATGACAATGTAAAATTGTTCAATTTAAATAATATCCATTTAAATAAAATCGATGATTTGCAAAAACAAATCAATATTCAAAAAGAAAATAATGATTTATTTCTTAAACCAATACATTTTAATACTATAAGTATTTGGACAATTTTACTATATATAATCCTTATTATTATATTTTTATATATTTGTAAAAGGTATTTATGGCCAAAAATAAGTAATTATTTTATTAAAAATAAGAAAAATCAAAATATTCATTTAAATAATGAAATTACTATATAAGGCCATAAAAACTTTAAAAAGTTTATATGTCCATCTTAGGGTGGAGGAGTTACATCCTGTACATTAGGTTTAGTACACATAAAAATGTACTTGCTCTGTAATCAATGTAATCTTATAAATACGACTCAAACTGTACAATTCGTTTGAGTCCAATGTAGATCTTAGAGCTGTTAACTTCGGTTTTTATTAAATAAAACATTTTTTAAAAACAATTTGTCTCGAGTTTCTCATTTAACTAGCTACTAATATATATTATTTTATTTTATATAGTGTTTAATTACAAGTTTGCATAAAACATTTAAGTTATTTTAATCGATCTTGTTGCAACTTACGTATACCTCGAAGTAAGACTAATTAGAATTCAGCTGCCACTTAACGACGTTACATTAATCAAGCTTACGAATGTCACTGTCTCTACGTGTCAAACCTTGGCAAATACCCGAACTTTTCCTTATGCGAGAGCTAAATTTGTTACTGAGACAGCAATCCGGCGGCAATTTATATGTCGAAGAGAATTCCTGCAGGGAAGTTGATCCCGACAGCGTTACACCGGCTGCTGAACTCGATTCAGACACCTCAGACAATTACGAAACGCTAAAGTTAGAGTTGGTTAATGTGCAACTGGAGGAAGCCGAAGCGTTGGAACAACACCGAATCGTATGTTTAGTGGTTATGATAAATTTACACCATTTAGATTATGCCAATAATACTAATATCTCTTCCTTTTAGCTCCGCAACAACTATGCTTTATTAGAAGTTGTCCTAGAACACATAATGTCTCACCTAGAGTGTGTCATAATAGAAATCAAATCAAGCTCAAGACTCGCCCATTTCCTCAATCTTTACTGCGTCCAAGAACGATGTTTAGACGAGGAAACATCGTCGTTATTAAAAAAGCTCAACCAAATAAACAATGTCTCAAGTTTGGAGGCTCTAAAAACTCAACTCATTTGTACAATAAACAACAGAGATCACATCAAAATCCTAAACGAACAATTCGAGGAGAAGTATAATAATTTTAGGCTGGCTTTAAAGAATTTCAAGATTATTTTAGAAATACTAAACGTGCACAACGACTCGTTAAGTAAACTAAAGAAGCAGTTTAAAGAAATTCTCATGGATTATCAACACTGTCGGTGTATATTGGAAAGGGAGTATCCCTTTGCTATTGCTGAAAAGGCAAAAGTTTTGTTAGACTGTTTAACTTCCTTGGGAGAATCGTACAAGTACTTTAAGGATGAGTCAGGTATACTGGGGAATGTTTTTAGAAACGTTGCTAGAAATATTCAGGAGAACGAGTATATTTTGGTAAAGAAAGAAAATTTATTGTCGGCTCAGTGTAGTACTGCAAATAGTTAAAATATTTGATAAAGGAGAAACTAAACAGAAACAGTTCTAGTTTTTTTATTCTTTATGATTTAAATTAATCCGAATATAACTAAAATGAAGCGTCCCAAAACAATGTACCATATAATAAATAAAGTTTTGTTAAAAAGCGTATGTACTCTGTTTTATTACTCAGGTGCGATTTCGACAAACCATGACAGACAAACCTTGGCCAATACCCGAACTATTCTTTATGCGATAGCTAAATTTGTTACTGTGACAGCAATCCGGCGGCAATTTATACGTCGAAGAGCATTCCTGCAGGAAAGTTGATCCCGACAGCGTTACACCGGCTGTTGAAGCAGCAACTGGAAGAAGAAGGAACTCTTAGAACAACACTGAATCGTATGTTCAGTTGTTATGATAAATTTACGCCATTTGGAGTATGCCAATAATACTAATATATCTTCCTTCCAGCTCCGCAACAACTATGCTTTATTAGAAGTTGTCCTAGAAAACATAATGTGTGCCTAGACTCTGTTTTATTACTCAGGTAAGATATCGACAGACGATGACAGACAAACCTTGACCAATACCAAAACTTTTCCTTATGCGAGACCTAATTTGTTACTGAGACAGCAATCCGGTGGCAATTTATACGTCAAAGAGAATTCCTGCAGAGAAGTTGATTCCGACAACGTTACACCGGCTGCTGAACTCAATTCAGACACCTCAGACAACTACGAAACGCTAAAGTTAGAGTTAGTTAATGTGCAACTTGAGGAAGCCGAAGCGTTGGAACAATACAGAATCGTATATTTAGCGGTTATGATAAATTTACGCCATATAGATCCCATGCCAATAATACTAATATTTCTTCCCTCCACCTCCACAACAACTATGCTTTATTACAAGTTGTCCTAGAACACATAATGTCTCACCTAGAGTGTGTCATAATAGAAATCAAATCAAGCTCAAGACTGGCTCATTTTCTCAATCTTTACTGCGTCCAAAACGATGTTTACACGAGGAAACATCGTCGTTATTAAAAAAACTCAATACCAAGCAAGCGAGGTCTCAAATTTGGAGGAGACTCAACTCATCAACAACAGAGATCATATCAAAATCCTGAACAAACAATTCGAGGAGAAGTTTATTATACTTCTCCTTTAGGTTGGCTTTAAAGAATTTCAAGAATATTTTGGAAATACTAAACCTGCACAATGACTCGTTAAGCAAACTAAAGAAGCAATTTAAAGAGTTTCTTATGGATTATCAACACTGCCGGTGTATACTGGAAAGGGAGTATCCCTTTGCTATTGCTGAAAAGGCAAAAGTTTTGTTAGTGAACTTCCTTGTGAGAATCGTACGAGTACTTTAAGGATGAGTCAGATATACAGGGGAATGTTTTTAAAAACGTTGCTAGAAATATTCAGGAATATATTTTGGTAAAGAAAGAAAGCTTATTGTCAGCTCAGTGTAGTACTGAAAATAGTTAAAATATATAATAAAAATGAAATTTAAAAGAAACAATACTAGTTATTTTATTCTTTCTGATTTAAATTAATCCGAATATAACAACAAAGCATCCTAAAACCACGTTCATTATAATAAATAAAGTTCTATTAAAAAGCGTATAGTAATTTTAATCCATACAATAGTTTTATATATTTTTTCCAATTCATTTTGCGTCATACTGTAGCTTTAATTCATAAAAAAATAATGTTTATAATGCAATATTCTGTTTAAGTTAAGGCAAAAAAGTAAATAAAAAACAGTCAAAAATAACAGCTTAAATAACGTCACGTTTGCCAGTCCTTGTAATTTCCTAGAGAACTGTGAAACAAGAAGAAAGTTCTTGAATTTTCTCCATTAAGAACCCCTTTTAGATTAATTGAAATCCAAAGTAAATTATCCCGTTCTATTTCATCCTACTATGCATTTAGCGTTTTTCTTTACTTTTTATGTTCTGCATTAGCTACTTTAAGAGACAATGAAATATTAATTTTTTAGACTACCAACAGCTATATCCAATTTATTAATATTTAGGATTTGAAAGTTTGAGTACAGTTTTTGACTCAATTTGTCACCGCCTTTGTCGGCGTCGCACAGCCCGAAAAGATACCAAAAAATCTAATTTAATTTCATATCTATTAAAACTGCTTCTAAATGCTTTCTTAAGTCGTAAAATAACATTTTATCAAAACATAAATTTTGATATTCTCATGGCAATATTGGGAAATCTGTCTACTGAGCAATTTGTAATTTGTTTTATGTGTTCCTTTAAAAACTGGCACTGTCGTTGTATTTTGGATGATGAGTATTCTTTGTTTTTTTTTCACAAATCACTCTGGTTTATTTCAATATTTAAGACTAAAAAAAACAAAAAATGATATGTGAAAATTATATGGCAAAATAATATGTTATGCTGGGTCCTATTCCTATGTATTCAAATTTCAAATTTATAATTTTCTAGTTAATGAGCACAAAACAGCAGTAAGTTTTAGTATCAAATTAAAGGTAAGAGCCTGTATATTAAGAATTAATTAAAGTGCTTGGGGAATACAAAGGTATCATTAACTTTTTTGACCGATAAATCAACAACTTTAAAATTGTTTTGCAAAATTTGTTCACTTTTAACTGTAAACTAATTATTTCGCTCAAGCTAAAAAAGTATCCAAAAACAGTTTCTACAGAAATAATCCACACTTACTGGAGTTAGTGTTAGCCATTTAAATTTTAATTTTATTAAATTTCATTATAAAGAAATACCACTTTGAAATTCAGCAATATTCTCATTAAAAAAATATTAATTTTTCTTACGTTTGGATTATTGTCAACTTTGACAAGCTGCAGCAGGTATCCTACTGGAGATGCTGATCCATGACTGGCATGATCAAATAAAGAGAAGAATTTTGCATAGTTTGCAAGTATTTTTTTGCTTAAATCTCATATTTCAATTTTCGAGTTTCCGGTAACTTTTATGGGTCTAGGCCCCTCTGTGCGTCGGCTGGACAAATGTCTTAAGAGTCTCACTACTTCCAATTGACTTGGAAAATACTATAATATAATCTCAATTTCATTCTTTGGCAGATTGGTTATTATTAATTTTGATTAACGTCATATTTTTTGCTGCTGTTAAAATACCATAGTTTCCGATAATTATTATCACCCCCTCTCCGTAGCATTGAACTACATAAACTTATTGTATTATTTTTATGTTTTTTTTCTTTAAAACGTTTTGGAAATTAGAAAAGTATAAACGGAATTAAAACAAACCATTTTAGAACTAGGAATTTTTTTAGAAAGAATGCATTTTTCTCAGGTTGTTAATGAAAAGTGTTTTCCTCATATAAAGACAATCCGGGGACATATTGTATAATTATTATATAATGATTATATTTACTTAGTTTATGCGTTTATGCGTTAAGTTTTTCCTTGTAATTCTTTATTGCAGTTATTTTCCCTTAAAATGTTATGGTTAGATGGGTATAGTTTAGTAATGATATTATTAGTTCCCATGTTGATTTATTTATTTTAGATTTTATGGCTTTATCTTCTTCTTCTTACAGTGCCATACTCTATGTATAGAGCGTCGGCTACCTCTTGCATGTACTTGTGATGTGTGTCACCAGTGTTTCACAAGTACACGGGACCTACAGTTTATCGCGGAATCCGAACGGCACTATTTGAGAGGCTGTACAAGGCAAATATACTCAAGGTGGTTTGCCATTGCCTTCCTTGAGGTGGCGACTCGTTGGTCGCTCTATTTAGATAAATAAATATTTTTATTTAGATAAATAAAGCAACCGTACTGGCTGGAGATCGAACCCAGTACCTTCCGCTCCGCAGATCGACACACTACCGCTGGAGCTACGGCCGGCCACATTTTCCAGGCTTTATCTAGTATCTGTAAAATTTGGTAAATAATCAAGTAACTCAATTATAAGAAAATAAACCTTCATGACTTTGTTCTTTTGCGGTCCCAGAGATCTAATGACCTCGAAAGTGTACAAAGTATTATTGACGTTATTTAAGGGTTAGTGTCGCTGCTATGTATCCTCTCATTGAACGGACTATACTATAATATAGAAATAATACTTATTTTTTCTGTATCAATAAAATATCATAACAAATCTAAGAAATTTGTTTATTTGTAAGTTTAGACCTGGGAAATTTTAGTGTATTTACATTTTTATGTTTTATCAAACATGTTTGCGAAAAATATGTTTGGACATACCTACTTTACATCTTTTTCTTGATTTTAACTCAAAGTATAAAAACCTTTCAGGAGAAGCAAAGAAAATGTAACGCTGCTTTTTGGATATTAATGACCAAATAATATTATAGTGGAGTTCTTATACAATTTTACTAATATTCTTCAGCATCATAAATCAAATTAAATGAGTATTCGAATAGAAATAATCATAAAAATATTTTTTTGGAGATAATACTGTTTTGAACGGTATGTCCAATACATCATTTGATGCTTTTACCGAGATATATTTGATGCTTTTACCGTTTTGTATATTTTTTCTGTATAGATAATATAATATTTTATATATCATTTTACTCCTACTTATGTAATATTTAAATGCCTTTGGCGTAACTAGAATTATTTCTTTATTTAATTATCTTCCTATTTTTTAACAAAATGCTGAAACTATACCTATGACATCGTCAAATATTGAAAAGAAAAAATTCTATTAAGTCTGTAGTCAAATCAAATTTTAAGTAAAAAATAAACAGTTTGTTTACATTTTGCCTGTATACCGGGTGTTTCTCAAAGGTAGTTCTACGGCTCGCCCGTAGAGCATTTTTATTTTTTCAGATAAAAAAACGAGAATTGGTGTGATTATACACGACATAAATTAGGATTGATTAACCATGGTACAAAGAATACAAGGTATGATATTGCGCAGGTTGGTCGCTACGTCACAGGTGATAACAGGCGCTATTGGTCAGCACGCTCCGCGCGCCAGTTCAAATCGTCAAGATATTGTTATAAACCTGTTTTTTTGTTTATATACCGTCATTGAATTATCGCTAAGCAAGTTACTGTGGAGCAGTGCGTAAGGAGTCGGGCTAGGAAGCGGGAGACCGGAGTTCGAATAACGGCCGGGACATAACTTTTTATTTATTTTTTTAAATACTGTTGTATTCTATA